CCGGTACCATGTTAACGGCGTTCTGTAGTCGGTAATTGACCGAGTGACCGAATGGTATTGTCGGAGGTGTAGAGGACGATAACAACGAATTTAGACCAGTGACCTTTGAAGTCAGCCAGCTAGATTCTCAGATCTAAAAGTGTCCAAGAGATAAGGATTTGATTGGCAACGAGACACAGAGCCAATACCATTTCATGTTGACCAGAACCGTCGAGGAATTCGCAATGATACAGTCAGTACAATTATTCGGCAACCTAGGCCCTGGTATATTTCACTCCTAAGTCAGTCAGTCCAACTTCTGATGGGCAGGTGATTTCGATGCTTTAGTCATGCACAGAGCACAGAACTGTTTGGCTTCCCATGAGGGAAATGTTATGACGTTTGGTTTCCGAATAAAATGACGTTTTGTGCTGAGAGACTGTATTTTACACAATACGTACTCCAACCGCTGGACTTTCAAAGGGCCTGTGGTTTGCCGGACATAACGTAGCGTATTTGTGTGATGTAATAAACTTCTGGAATTTCATTAAAAATACACTACCCCTAGTGTTCCCGTTATTGCGTCATCATGACATCCTGCCGGAGGTGGGGCTGGAAAGAAGGTCCTTTCAAAACCCAGGGTGATCTATTGAACCTGCAATCTAAGCATACCCAGTTTAGGCAACTACCCGATAGGGTTTGAGGCGAGAAACCGGTTTCAATGATGAAAGGTTTCAAGATACATAGAATTAGTGTGGAAATAAACTCATCCGCAAATTAATTTGGTGTCAACGGGATGTCTATCTGAATCCAAGCTGAATTCCTTGTTCATGAAATTCTTCAACTGAGTGTTCTGCGAAGGTCATTTCAAGTTCCAACCGATACGATATTCGAGCTATTGCACTGTATCTTGGAACACGCTGTACATGGGGTGGTTGAAAACTCTTCGGCAGCTCACGAATGGTTTGACCCCTTTTTGAGACCCCTCAGATAGGCACAGTTCCCGAGTTTCCGCCAATCGTCCCCCCAAGGGATACAGATGAATACCTCATCCCATGCAGTTGCCACACCTATCGCGCCCATGAGACTCACTCATGTTTTAGTTGTCACATCAAAAAAGTCTCGCTAATCACCATTGCTGGCGAAAGAAGTCCGGCTCTATTCAGTCAGGCAACAGATCCCCCATAAAATAAGCAATCATTGGGAGAACATGACCACAATTTGGTCATTTTCTTCCCCATTCTAGTCCTCATTCAAGAAGTTCTCTTCTAGGAATGATGAGTCTGTCTCTGACCGGGGAATTTGGCAGTGAAAGCACCAACTGTCATTGGCCTCGAGTTAAAAGCGGACTGCAATAAAACACGGTTGATCACGCTGTGATTTAATTCACTCTGATTACCGGGTTATCAAGTTGGCATTGTTAAAGACGTAATACATCCGAAATAGATGCTGAAGACACCGAGCTTTGATCAGATGGTCGTTCATTCGTTCTCAGAGTTTGTCAAAATGGGTCGCACTCAACCGCGCACTGATGATGTCTCCTCAACTGGCGAAGAAGCGTTTGATCAACAGCCAGTAAACACACTCAAATTACCAATACTTCGACTCCTGAAACCACCAAGGTTCACCGTTTTGGTGACGCAACAATACATCCTCGCCACATCCATTTTTTTCGTACCTGACATTCATTTGAGTTCGGTTAACCCGTGCGAAAACACTTGATTGATCCAAAAGATATGTGGCGATCACAAAAATGCAGTCACATCGTTCTAGCTGTTGAAAAGTAGATGTGTCCCACAGAGTCGGCAGCTGAGTATATCTTCAGGCATTTTCTTATAGTGGATGAAGTGAGCTTGCATAGAAACATGGGATACGGCATGCCAATATGACAACTTTGTAAGGTAACACTTTGGAATCAGGATGTAGGTGGTATAACCGTGGAACACTTGGAAACAACAGCCATTTCCGAGCGCAAGATAAAACTGAGCTACTCATAACTCTACTGAAAACCATGCACTTTATCGGTAACCTCTCTCGTTGGTTTCCTTTTTGGTCGAAACGACATGTCGCGATATTTTGAATATCGTGTCAAGTGAAACCTGAGGCAACCTTGTGCGGCAAATCCAGTTGCTTGAAAACATCATAAACGAGATATTCTAATGGGATTCATCTGATCCTGTGATTAAAAACAAAATGGTATGCAAATTAGTGTCTTTCGAGAACTTCGTACAATTTGGTTGCAAGTAGAGCACAAGGTTGACGGAACTTCGGAGAATGCGTCTACCTGATGAGCCCCAACAAGGGTGAAACCGGTAGTGGACTTTCGAAGAGCAGTTTCATTCAAGAAAATCATACAGTCTAGTTTGAATATCTTCATTTTACGTGAGCACATTGAGGACGCTCGAAAAAGCTTCCCTAAGCCTAGGTGTTAGTCCGTGCGACTCTTTAAATTAAGATGGCCGTGATAGAATGTGTGCCAGGAATCTTCAAAACTGAAATCTCCTGGGTTACACTAAGCAAAGACTGATTTAACTCGCTGATTATGGTGTCTTATTTTTCGTTTGCTAACACAGTAGTAGATTCAAACCTATATTCCTTGTTCAGATAGACCTGAGTGTTACTATTGGTTCGTCAACTGAATCTTTCGCAGAACCAAATTAATCTGCAAATGGGTGTATTTCGCTAACTACCCTTGAAACGAAGAAGGCCTTCCCTGCGGAGCCTATTTATTAGAAGATGCTAACTGACCAGTTACAGACTATTGGACAGGAAAGGAAAACCCTCATAGGCATCTTGTTTACAAAAACTGAACACCCATCTTCTATTAAACACCCGTCTTCCTGAACATTTCTGGATATTCATTGAGTGTTGCTCAAATCCAAGTGAATGCTACGAAGCGACCCCACAAATTCTGCAACAGGTCTCCTTTTTCAAGATATTCAAAGCGAATTCACAAGAAGAAAACCTGCTACTCGCATGCCTCCCCATCAGTAGCATCACCGTTACACCGTGACCGTTTTATGGAAAAGTATATCATGAAGATCCACGAAGAGGATCGGATAACCACAGTATAAAACATCTCATTCAACTACAGGCTCCCCACACTAGTCAACTTCAACGGGGCTCCCAACGTCAATCACTGACAAACGCATCGCTGAATGTTTAGGCACACGCGCTGGCTATACCAGTGCCGCCGATCGAAACTCCAGCGAGAGTTTCATCAAAGTCATTTCGGTTACCTATTTACGTGCAGTTCTAGTGATACATTAATTAAACGGAGCGAATGTTGGAGACACAGGTGAAGGAGCACCTGTTCAAGCGATTTCGCGTACTAGTAGCGGGTCGAAAGCCAGATATTCGATCGATCAATAGATACAGGGCACGGAGCTCAACTTTGCTGTTCATCGTTGACGGGAGTTTCTTAAAACAACACTGATTAGTCGCCTAGACCTTCTACTCTGTGTTCAGAACGGAAAACTGAGCTTTACCCCAAAACTGACTGGCCACGTTACGTTTTTTAGTTCCACATAAAGGATGCCATTAGTCATGTACATTGTTCCATTTTATTCCCCCTTACACGTATAGCGGCAGACGAAAATGACTTCATCTCGCAACAGTGCTGTTGTTCTTACTCTGTTGTTCAAACTAATCCCATTGTACAAATATGTTCGTTTGGTCAAACTCTGTGACGCCAAATGGTGCTTGGACAGATTCGGTATGTTTACACTAACCAAGTTTGCTTAATGCAGATCCATGATCCTAGGTCTGACAAATCTCTCCCACATTACCTTCCGACCCGGCTTGTACACCAAAACACGTCCGGGGAAGAAAGCATGCAGTCTGTAGTATGCCTACCGCCCACGTAAACGCCATCAGAGGGACTTGAAGCTTGCACGTGTTAAAGCATGCTTACTCACTCACTCGTTCACTTGTTTACAGTCAACAACTCTGGGGTGAGGTGACGGTACAGGGATAGGCAGTTCAACGCATCCATGTGAATAAAACCAGCTGGCTGTTCCCTGCCGATGACGACTGCCAGTCGACCATGTGCAGATGATGTCCGATGTCGGTACTAGGACGTTCCAGTCGTGGGCACCCACCCATCTCCCGGAGCACTCGAGATAAGCAATGAACAATCCGTGGTGGTGGTGGTAGGCTTGGGAGCGAAGAGCGATTGCGAACGAACACAAACAAAAGCTGAAATAGTACAGCCGGATGCCGTGCTTGGCAGCGGTGAAACCACATTTCATGCCTCCGCGGCTGTGTAGACGAAAACACCATGGTCATCTGGTCACCACCCCCCCCCCCTCTAGGGTACGATACATTTCGTATGTCAGTTTAGTTTAACAGATGATCTGTGAACGTGTGCGTGGTTAGAAGATGCGAAGACACAACCCCCAGTCATACTGGACTGATGGCATTTGCCGGATCCATCACGAACGTGATCCGCAGGGGGTTAGCCATCAGAGATGCCATATCACACACCCCCTACTGTGGATGAGACGAGATGATGAAGTTCACTGACCTCACCGAAAAGAATTTCAGCGGTGCGCCCTCCCCAGGTGCTGACTATGATGAAATGGTAATTATCAAAAGTGGACGAGTCGACCAATTATGCACGCTTTCGACATGACTCGTGAGTTATCGGGTCATGACACACAGGTCATTAGACTTGATGAGTTGACTTAACATTACTCCGTGTGCTCCAGAGGAGGTGCATGTTGGACCAGAACGAGATTGTACTGACTATACCCATTTGGTATTAGGAGGTCTTGTTTTTTCTATGGTCAGGTGAACTCTGGGGATAATACCAGACGAAGTTAAGTTGTAATGTCCCACGTGTAACGAGAGTTTTGAACATACCATCACTAGAAGTGCAGTTAAACGTACACCGGTAAGACAATGCAATGTAAATTTCGACACATTGCATGAAACCTCGGCAACAAGGTTAGAAGTTTGAGAAAGAAAGTGGTGCATTATCAAGGCTTGAGTAAGGTAAAAAAAACACAAGAATATTGGGTTCAGGCACGAAATCCATGGTATGGATGGAAACTTTGGATCATGATCTCATTATCATCATCATCCTCGTCATCATCATCCGAATCATCATCATCATCATCATCATCATCATCATCATCATCATCATCATCATCATCATCATCATCATCATCATCATCATCATCGACTGTAAGATCCGGGTACTTGTCGTACAGTGGTTGTAACCGCCGCAAAACTACACATTCGTGGCAAATCTTGGGTACAAATGTGGATTTTGTTTATTCAGGCTGTTGGTTTCGTTCAGCCGCAAATATTCCGTTACTCCAGTCGAATCACCGAACAACGGAGTCCATGAAGTATACGAAGCCCTGTCCTTCTTTTGGCAAATTAACCTGCAATAAGTCAACTTTACACCACAAGTGTATCAGTTCATGCAGAACAAAGATGTGGTTCGAAACTATCCAGCAGTTTTATCTACGTAGTTTACACAATTTAGTCGAGGTATCGAGTGGAAAATATCTTCATGACAATTCGAAGAGAGCATGTAGTTTCGCCCTGATTTGAACATGCCGGTTGTCGATATGGGTTGTTTCTTGCTGGCACAAGAGACGCTACATGAATTCCGTTGGCTGCTCTTTTTGTCACCTATCTCTCTCTCTATCATCAGATTCATAATCCCGTTTCGCCGGCATTTTTTGGAAATCCTAGAAGAGAATTCAACCGTAGTCTGCTGAACATCTGCTGCTCGGCGGCCTGTGATACGACAGCAATTCTTGAAGCAACAGGAAACAGACACGCAAGGGACTCCCACAGCCCTGCCTCGGTCAATTTATTGAACCATGCGGACTGGTATAATCCGACTGGACGATGTTTTTGACGTACAGCAATTCTGTAGATATCCGTGCACGACTATGCATTGTCAAATCATTCAACTGATGATTGTAACACAACGTGGCTTTTGCGGAACACTTAACTGAGTTTCATTTGAATCGCTCGTCTATTAAACCTGCGAAACCGGCCAGCGGAGAGATCTTCGCAACCCTATGAGTAGTATTCCACCAACGATATATGTTTACCGAAATATGCTAATTTGCAAACAAATTTCGTCTGGCAATTGACTCACTTGGAGCCGAGCTGAATCGATCGTTTATGATGCGTCTAAGACACTGAACGTGCTGCACCAAGCTGCCTCATGTTTCAGTTGCATAAATATTCAAAACATTGCGATGCATGTATAGACGTAATACTATACTCATACGGTTGTTGAAAATTCTTTGACTGGGTTCCAGGTGAGTCTCTCGCAAAACCAAATTGGTTGCAATGAGTGTATTTTCGCTAACTTCGTGCAATCTGATTTAAAGACAGAAACTGGACGAGTTCACCCCAAGAAGGGTGTGGCTGATCGTGAGGTATCGAAAGACTTTCAGCAACCTTATGAGTATTGTATTAAATCTTTTTTTCAGTTTAATTCGTTCCATAGACAGATGTCGAAGGATTCCTTGGTAAACTTTGCGAGTTCGGGTGCCACTATCGCCATGCCAGAATGAATATTTCGCCCGCAAACATGGTTTCAGTTTTTCTGCGTGGTGATGAACGCAGCGTCACTGATAAACCCAGGTTCATCGAACAGAAACGTGCCAGTCTGTTCCTATAAGCTGAGTAGATAGCACCGATCACAGTGGGTGATGGGCTTAGCCAAGACTAGAAAGCCATCCACTTAGTTTTTTCATTGAGATCTTCATTTGAAAAGAAGTAGGCCAATCTGGTAAGCAAGGTCAACGAAGATCAATGCCGGTTTGATAGACAGACCATGAGTGCGTGTGTCTGAGTAGAAGAGAACAACAGCTGCCAGCATCGCTTGTGTAAGTATCCTTTTGTTCAAACTATCCATCCCGATTCCATACTCGATCACATAAGTGAATTGGCACATGATAACTAGTCCGTTGTTAATCTTTTACTCCATGCTATCTTCCCGCTATCTGCAATGAGGTATAAGCGCAACGCGTTGATATCCAAAAGCTTCTGGTTTTTCTTTGGGG